ACCGCTGCAACTCTGGGAGACAAAAGGAAAAGTGTCCAGCCGTCCCGGGCGGGCCGGGCCGCAGGCCGCGCCTGCGAGAGGGCGGGAGAAGGGAGGAACGGTATAACTACACTGTAAATCCGGGGTGTCCAGCAACTGTGCGACAAAAGGTGCCCGACGCTAAACACCTGTGCAACTTAAGTCGCTTAGCTGCTGGACACATTTCGGTTCGGCACCCTTTTCCCTGCACAAGGGTCCAGGCCAAGCCTAGGTAGGGTGTCTTGTTGTTGGACACCCCCTGCTTGGACCCCTCTGCAGGGAAAGGGCGCCAAACTACAAGGCGTCCAGCAGCTGTGCGACTTAAGTTGCACAGGTTTTAGAGTCGGGCACCTTTTGTCGCACAGTTGCTGGACACCCCGGATTTACAATGTAGCTACCAGGCAGGCGGAAGGGTCGGGGTCGGGGGAGACGCTCGTATAGGACTACGGCGTTTGCAAGATTGCGGTGAATTTCACCGTAAAGTTTCGATATGAGCGCACCCTCTTTACCCTGGAGGGCTGTAAGTTATTACGCGCCCCTTGAGGGTCAAAATTACAGCGGTCATAGTGTCGCGTGACAGCCGTGCGGTGCGGTACGTGTGGGGCAGGACGCGTGGGCTGCGGGGGGCGCGGGCGGGGCCTGGCAAGGCGGGACCCATTGGTGCAGTAAAGCTATCTGGACTCGGCTGCGCAAACACTCGCCGTCCCTTGTCGGGCGGCCGCGCGGCCGTGACTTTGAGCGACGCCTATGGCATGGCAGTCTGGTGGAGCCGCGCCCGCCGCAGGGGCAGGGCACATAAGCCGCGAGGCTATGCTGTACTGTACTCCGTCAACAAACGGCGCAGAAATATACCCCGGCGGACGTTCCGGCAAGGTGATGTGTTATCGCAGTCTATTGGATCTCAAAGCGCCCGGTGATAAACACAAAGAGAAAACGAATAAAACAAATTGAATTCCTGAAAGATAACGATGTACAGGTATCGGAAACAATGAAAAATGTAGCAAATAGTAGCCGCAGTAAAGAAAATATTTTTAATCCAGATCACAACACCCACAATTCTTTTGCTGTTCGCCATTCACTGTGACAAAAAGTACAGTACGCCTGGTGGCCTACTCGATCTGTACTTTGTGGATTAGGCGTTTTTGGAGGACAAAAGTACACTAGCCTTTGACGTACGATTCCGTACCTCACTCCTGTACTTTTGAGGTATACGAGCTGGGATATTTTGGCCAGTGTTGCTGTATAAAACGCCCAGCTGGATGCACAGTTCAAGTCTTACGAAGCAAAATGCCAAATGCTTCGTACCTACAAAGAATTTTCTCCCTACGAAGCGTCCAAATCCTTCGTATTACAAAGGATTTGGCATTTTTCTTCGTAAGACTTTAACAGTGTGTTCTAAGCCGTTAAGCAGCAGGGTTTTAGGTTTGCCCGATCGTAGAGTTTTCAGTTAATAATTCGAGTAGGTCAGCGGCCGCGACGCTGGGCGGCTGCTGGAGGACGGCGTCATCTGCGGAGAGGAGAAAGTGCGAAAAACTGGAGGTGAATAACGATGCTGGCCGGGCACCGCCGCGCCGCTGAATAAGTAGCGATAAACCTGCAATGCATTTCTCTGCCGACGTTCCCTTCCCACCCGGCCGAGGCCCCGGCAGCCAAGCTCGTGTGGGAGTGCTGCGTGAGTGAGTGCGAGAGAGGGAGAGGGCGCATGAGCGACTGACTGGAAGAGGTTGAGTTGGGGGCGCTCCAAGTGTTGCCATCTCTCTCTCTCGCGCGCGCGCGCCCGCGAAGAACATTCCCAGTAGCTGCGTCTTTCCTTGCTCCTCCCGGCCCCCCGCGCAAGTGCGTGAGACTCTTCCTGCTGTAGGTCCTGCCGGGCCCTGCTCCCACGTCACGTCACATCCGCGCCCGACGCGATATTGAGACATTTTATCTGGCCCGGACCGGAAGCGACCCGCGCCGTCGCCGCCCTCGGTGCAGGCGGGGTCGGCCACTGTCGCTCAGTTCCGAATTGCAAATCTTATTACTCACCCGTTTTTCTTTTTGCGAATTTTTCGTCTCCTGAAACATACTTTTTCGATAATTGTTTTGCATCCTCCCTCGCAAGTTTTGTAAACACTCGCCCCTTTGGCTGACCCGAGTTTACGCTTTGAACGGGAAGTCGTGAAGCCCTAATTTTTAAGTTGACGGTGGATTTTTGCACTGAATGGAATAAGGTTCTTTGCGCTGCCAACTTGTACGGCCGCTGTGTGGCGCGACCGGAGCGCCGGTGGCGGCGTGGTCGGGTGTGGGGTGTAGAGGCATGTCGATGGCCGCACCGGACCTGTGGGGGGCGAGACGATCCTGTAGGCGTCAAACTGTTGTTGTCGCCATGCTGCTCTTCCGCCCCGCCCCACCCCGCCGCTGCGCCGGGCTGCTGTCACAGCCCACTTTCCACTTCAACGAGAGCTGGCCGTCCAGGCCAGGCCGGAGGAGGGTCCGCCACACCATGGCCCGATAAAACAAAAGAGAAAGAAAAATGTCGCGCCACGCCACTCCACGGCACGTCGCCGTGGAAGGGTCGTGTTACACACACACGCCGCGAGAACAGACCTGCAGCAGGCCACGGCCTCGGGTACCTCTCCGCCCCATTGTCGTGTTTCGGGGAAGAGGGTGACCGACACGCCCGAGAGCTATCTCCGCCTCTCCGATAGACTTCCAATCAATTCGCTGGCCAGGTGGTGTCATTGGCAGCCGGAGTGGTTGGAGGGGGTTTAGGATTAGATACCCCCGTCTCGTTTGGTCTCTCTCTGGAGTGCGGGTAGCTGTTGTGCTTTCGTTATCTATGGTGGCCTCCCCCGCCGTTCGTCCGAAAACTGTCCTCGAGCGTGTCTGCCGCCCTCCCCCCCCCCCTGTCCCCTCCAAGTCCTCAGGCAACACCTGAAGCGGAGTGGGCGTGGCGTGCAGGTATATCTCTTTGGAGTCCACGGTGTACCCCATGACCGGCGTGACCCAGACAAGGTCGAGCAGCGCGAGCGCTCCGAAGGCGATAACCAACACTCCGACGCCACACCGCCATCCACTCTTGGGATCATGGACGTCGCACACGTTGTGGATCAAAAACTCTCGCCCGGAAAAGGAGTTGTGTTCGGCTAGGTGTGTAGGAACTCTTTCCGAAGCTGCAGCCCGCCCGAGCCCTTGCGTGGCTACGCTAGCGAGGAGCCGTGCGAGTAGGCAACCCGCCCGCGCGGCAGCGCGCCGGGACTGCATACCCCAGCGAGCTGCCCGGCGGCGGCGGACGTTCTAATACTCATCCGAGCCTCGGATGCGACGGTAGTCTGTGATCGGCTGTGACCTGACCATCGCCTGCGCCCCCAGTTACGGCTGCCTCCTCACATGTATCTTCTGGGAGTACAAAGCACCCCCTCGCGGCGGCACACCCCGCCCGATACGGCGACGCGGGAGGTCTAGACGACTGGACGCGGTACATTTTTTTTCTTCCTCTTTTTCTCCCTTTTGCGTTTTGATCTGCTGCGCGTGGTGCCCATCAGGGTGTTGCCACCGCCGACAGATTGCCGGGCGATGCACCTGCTAATGACCCGCGCGGCTCGCCTGGCCCGCAGCGCTGCGCAGTCCACGTTCAAGGCGGGGATCAAGTGCAAACCCTGTAATAAGTATTCGGGGAGAGGAGGGGGGGGGAGTAACCTCTTTTTGCAAGGTGTTAGGAAAAGCGCCGTTGAAACACCAGTACCTTGTGCTCCGAAATTGGGGGATTGATGTGTATAAATACGTATTGTAAGAGGGCACTGGAAAAACAAAGAGGTGTTGTCCTACCTTTATCAGAGGCACTAAATGTTTAAAATGCACATGTTTGGTGCCTATAGAAGGGGCCTAAAATTGCGGAAGGCCTTAGGGCTCTCTACTTGCCTTTACAGAGGCACTAAACTAAAACTTTCTTCAACACCCCTGGAAAGGCAGGACTTTGCACTTTTGTTTCTCCAGTGGGTGGCTTGCGTATCGTCAGTATAATTCAGGCTCTGTATGACCCCCGTTTCGCTAGGTTGGTAATTCGCCCCACCCCCTCTCTGACGTAAACCCGACGTAAACTGGCTACTTAAATAGAGACTGTCCTAGAGCTTAAATGGGACACTCCTGCAGCACGGTGCTCGTATGAGTTGAGGTGTGGCACGGTGTGGTCGCGAGCAACGGATTAAAGGTCTGTCCGGAGTCCCCTCCCCCTTTTCCGCGGCCCGCCCTGCTCTGCCTCGCCCGCCCCACCGAGATACTCGCCCGACCCGACATGTACGGCAGGCTGCCATATAGGGGCGCAGCCGTAGCAGCGGCGGCCGGTGTGCAGGAAAAGGCCGCGACTTGTATTTCGCCGTCCTTGTCTGCACTCGCTCGGTCTCGCGATGGTGACGGTGGTGGCCTGGCCGGGTGGGCCCCCCCCCCCCCCCCACACACACCTCCTCTCTGTCTGTGTAGTATAGTACTAAACGGAGACGTGAACACCGACTGTTCAAGTCCTTGCGCTTCAGCTATAACTTAGCTATGATCCATCCGAAAGTAAACTCCACCGCAGAACGTAGGTGGTGTGTCCTCAGGGACCGTTTTGGTCGCTTGCATCAAAAAATGACCTATCATGAGACATAGCTAGGGCCATTGGCAGAAATGCCAGCCCCGTTAGCCACTTGACCCGCGGGGAAGTGCCTCGGCAGGACACACTTGAGTTCCTTATTTGCTCTTATTCAATTATTCGGGAAGTGTGCAGTGTGTTTTTAATTGTTACTTCTAGGTTTGTTGAATTTGATGTCGATGTTATTTCCAGCAACTGGAAGTTAGAGTAACATAGAGCAACCCAGTAAGGACCCTAAATATAGTTTTAACCCTGGTTTTGTTAAGAGAAAAAAACCAAAAAAACAAAACAAACAGAAATGCAATGGACAGATAGTTTTGTTTCCTTTTCCTCCCCTGAAATTAATTCAACTTTTGATTTTCTTTAATTGCAGCATCATGTCGTCCCCATCTCTGAATGAGCTGCCGAAGGTGGCTGTGGACCTCAAGAGCCAGCTGGAAGGCTTCAACCCCAGCAACATGAAGCATGCTGTCACTCAAGAAAAGACTGTGTTGCCCACGGCCGAAGGTATTCAAATCTTTTAAAAACCTCCATTTCTAAAACTATTTTCCTCTTACTATTCTACACTTCTTGTCTTGCTGTAGTTGTTTTTGTTTATGTTTGCATTATATTATCAATATTGCAATTTGCTAAAATAGTGTGGTAGATGTGGCATATTTTTCTTGTTGAGAATCGGTGAAGAAAGAGTGTCTTAGCCGTTGGTGTTGTCCACTTAGATGTGAAGCAGGAGCGGCAACACAACAACTTGATTCAAGATGTGGAGAACTTCAGCACGGATAGGCTGAAGCGTGCTGCCACTCAAGAGAAATTTGTGCTTCCAAACGCACAAGGTATTTGTGCTGGATAGGCAAGCATGGTGAAGAGGCTGTTGTTTGCACTGCATGTGCCAAGCTAAAACGAATTGTCTAACATAACAAACAAAAAATATAATCAGTATTCCCAAGGAGGACAAAGGGAAGTAACTTTCACGTCAAAACATCCTCAGTTTTGCATGAAAAGTATATGTTGTAAGTGTTGATTTTGACATATTAGGAATGTCAAAATTGTCCCCATTTGATGCAAAGTGTCAAGTCAATGTAAAAATTGATGTAAAAATTACATTACTACTGTCCTCCTAGGGTTCCATATTATTATTTCCACCAGTAACTCAATGGCATGTTTCTATAAACTGCTTTATTTTCTGCATGCTCAAACATTTTTTTAGGTATAGTTGTGTATTTATCATGTGTATATATTTTAAATCAAGTTGGGGAAAGAAAATGTTTACAGCACCCACTCTTATTTTTGCAGCACTACACCATTACCTCACCAGAATAACAGATTTTCTACTGACAGATTCAAATAAACTAATTCAATAACTTCTCGCAGCTTGGTAATTCAATAGTATATTAATAGTGATGCACATTAATCACACTCTCACCCCCACCCCTTATTATAATAATTACGCCTTCAACTCTTGATGTATTTTGACAAAATGTTGGATTGCATCTGATTAACATTACTTGAAGTCGCTTATTTTAATGTGTGTGGCAACCAACTCCATGAGTTCTACAATCATCAGTCCAAAACTGTTTCAGGGGTATTGTGGCAATTTTTCTATTAAAATCTGATAATTAGTAATGTTTTGAGACAATGAAACAGTATTATTTTAATGTTATACAGTGGGACGAAACAAACTGATTTTTCCATATTCTAATTCGTTTGTGTTTTCCAGATGTTGCTTCAGAGAAGACGCAGAAGGCGCTGATTGAGGGAGTAGAGGCTTTCGACAGCAGCAAGCTGAAACCCACAGAAACTCAAGAGAAGAATCTTCTTCCTGATAAAGATGGTAACTACATAGTTCAGCTAATGATTGTCCGCTTACCACATTCTTTCCATACAATGAATAGTAGATTATAATGAAAACAAATAGTACTTCCTATCGTTCAGTGAAAATAGCCTTTTGTATATCACAACATGCATGAGTCGAGCTTTGTTTTGTGTGTGTCCAAGCCTTTCTCATTTATTTCAATGTGCTTACTCACATTGCGTGTTCAGCTATTTTTAGTGTGCTTACTTGAACCTATCCAGCTGCAAATTATGTGTCTAGTATTTTAGATTATTCTCTAGCTGGGTAGTGTCATATTTCCCATTGAGTTCAGTTATTAAAATGAATTTGTGAGATTTATGCTTACATTTTCATTTGGCCTATCTTGCACCTATTTGTTTTAAAGTTCTTCCATAAGTATAAATTTGAAGGACGTGCATATTGAGTTATTTGGCTTTTGTACTATATGTCTTTAATAATAACTTTGTAATTTTTATATTTTGCTTCTGCATTTTATTACTGTATTTGTACTGCATGATGGCATGCTGCTGTTTTTTTTTTGTGTGTGTACCAGTTGTGCAGCAAGAAAGGGCTCACCAAAATCTGCTCAATGGTGTGGAGCACTTTGATAAGTCATCCATGAAGCATGCAGAAACACAGGAGAAGAACCCTCTCCCAGACCCTGCAGGTATACAACTATAATGTGTATGCACTAGCTATTTTATTATTAGCTTGTATATATTATATATGTTGTGATCAATAATTTTAAATGAGCTAATTATTTAAATGTTATTGCTGAAGTGCTGCCATTGCTGCCAGAAAGAAATCTTACAGTAGTGTATGTGCAAAATGTCTTGCAAGTGCCATTTCTTCTAATCAAACTGATCTGTGTATTGTTACAGCCATTGAACAAGAAAAGGGACAGCAACAGCTAATTGCGGGAATAGAAAACTTCAACCCCAAATCACTGAAGCACACTGAAACCCAAGAGAAGAACCCACTGCCAACCAAGGAAGGTATGAAGTAGTACTGCAGTGTTATTCTGCAGCTAAAACTTAATATTTGTTTGAACTTTTTGTGGAAAAGAAAAATATGTAACTAATAAGTAATGTTTTCAGCCATTGCCCAGGAGAAAGGTGCATAAGGTACTCAAGCTACAAGAACATTTCCCAGCAGCATGCTGGCATGCTTATTGTGCAGAGAGAGAGAAGGCTCAATCAATAATTTCATTTGTTCTGTTTCTTCAATTTTGTACTTTTTGATAAGTGTACATCTTAAGCTTTTTGTAAATTACAAAACATTTTGATGGCCTGTAGCATGTTTTATCCATGCAAACATAAAATAAGATTTTATAACTTTCCCCCCTTTTTGTCTCTTAAGAGTTTAGCTAAGTGCAAAACTTTTTATGAACTGTTTCAAGTATCCTTTCCAAAAGACTTAATCAAATGAATTCTTGTCATTGCTTCCCATTAAGTCAGTCAGTAGGCTATTCTACTGTTACTTCTGTTCTTCTCACCTTTTACTTTTATTGCTAACTCCTATCTTAAGAAAATATGGTAGTGTTGATGAATTTTGTACGATGCTTCTTTTAGTTTACATAAATTTTATATTTATTCAGTCAAGATGGCCTGTGTCACGTATGTGTAATCACTCGTAACTGAGATATGGAAAAACTACTGTGCTGATGTGCAGTAGACAACGCTTTGATATACCCTTAATAAAAAGAGTAAGAAAGACAGTTTTGCAAAACTTTTTCCCACTCTGAACCACACAGTGACATACTAATTAACTACACTCTATTACACCTGATAACACTGGGGTTTTCTCAGAGAAAAGATACAAATTAATTTTAGAGGCTATTTAATGCCTGATAAAAATTGGAACAGATATTCAAAAAAACAATCATCAAAACAGATAAACTGTAGAAAAATAACAATTTGAGTATGTAACTCTTGCAATAAAAGAAGTTCACTCATACATACTAAAAAGGTAAACATCAAAACCTATTTGGTTTACATTAGATTTAAAACAATGCATGTCAGTCAAAGATTGTGACTGTACACAGTCATAAAATCAAATCACTCTTTGTTTTCTCCGGAAGTCTTTTTAAAGGTATTTGCAATATCTTTAATGATAGGCATTTTCTCTTGGAGCTGAAACATAACAGTTGTCTTTGCATCCTCATTTGGCTGGTCTGTTGATAAGAGCTTCAGCACAAGATCTGTAAGAAATGTTAGGTTTAGAAACAAAACAAATAATCAAAACAAGGTGAAGAGTTGGTGAAACAATGCTGTATAATGTCTAAAACCATAAAAATTGTCTCATATTTTACCATAGTACTCCTGCAAAGTGGAATATGTGCCTGCTGGCAAATGAGGCTGTAGGAATGACAATAAAATGTTGACATAGCGTCCAGATGCATGCAACATATTTTGTGTTACACCTTGACAAAGCACCAAAGTAGCTATATGCAAAACGTGAGCCGGGTCCTCTGAAGAATTCAGTTGCTCTAACAATGCTTGGCGGTGACCAAAGACCATCACTCTGAAAGAATTCATATTAATAGTAACAGAACAGAAAGAAAAATTGTTACATGATGACCTTTTGGAGCCATTACTATACCTCTCCTTTTTCTTGTCTGATTTACGAATAACAACATCACAAACATCTGAACTCAGAGCGATTTCAAGAGCAGAAAAAAAGTCATCAAGTGAAGATCCAAGTAAAGATTTATTTAATTTTAAAAGAGCCTCTTTTTCTGCTCCACCTGATTCCTGGGCCACTTTTTGCCTTGTCTGAAAATAATTGTTTTTAGTAGATGAACCCAACCTAGCAGTTCTTCCTTCATGTAAAGTATGGAAGAAGGGAAATTATACCTCCTGAAGTATGTCCTTGGTAGAGTCCCATTGTAGCATCCGCTCCTGAGCTATAAAGCCAACTATTTCATTGGCAATGTCAGTGCAAAATGTTTTAAGCAAATATTTAGAAAGCTGTGAATGAGGAGACTCTTTGGCAGGTGGAATAACATCAGTAGAAAATCCTTTGAGACCTTTCTCAAACAATCTAACATTGGTGATAAGACTGTTCAGTTTCTCTTGAAGATCATTGTGAGTTTTCCTCCGTGCACCAATATTATTTGACATATTGCTATCCAACACAACTTGGGCATGTTCCATGGCAGCTTTATTGGCTGACCTAAAACGTGAAAAGGATTTCTTTAGATGTAATTAATATTCACTATAAAGTACTTTTTTCTAAGATAAGCACTTTACTGATAAACTTACACATGCAAGTGTTTGGCTATTTCCTCCAATAAAGATGCTCTTTCATCTTCATCTAAATCATTAAAGCTCTCTTCCAGAGAAATAACAGCAACTATGTCTTCAACAGTAACAATTTCTAAGACTGTAGGTTTGCGATGAGAACTAACAGTTGCCTCATCATCAGAATCTCCACCTCCACGTCCACCCCTCACTTTCTTTTTTGTTGACTTAGTTTTAGTCTCACGACCCTAAGACATGATAATAATTCAGGTAGTTAGATTTGAATTTTACTAGAAATAGGAAACATATATGCGGGATGCTTAGGCAGTACCTGAGTTCCACCACCCCCTTTACCACCAGCTGCTTTCTTGCGTCGCTCATCTCGCTTGTCAACTTTTTCTTCCTTCAGATCTTCTCGCTTGTTGTGGTCATCAGAGACTTGAAGTCGATCAACTTGCCATTGTTGGAACTCTCCAGATGCAACACACTTTCATGACAAGCACAAATGGTGATAAATCAACTTTAGGTAAACTATTCCACATTAAAAAAATAATTATCTCTCAGCCGCTTACCTTTTCTGCTTTCTTTTGCACCACATCTTTGAAGGGAACCATTAATTTGTTCAGGAAGTTTTCTGTCACAACAACTGAACCATTGAAAACTTTGACTGACGGTGTACTACCCCCCGGTGTTCTTACAGTTTTCAGAACTTCTGTCAAAATTTGTTCCCCATTGTTACTGTCTAAGACTGATGGCAACATTGGCTGGATTTAAAAAATAAAAAAAAATTAGAAGGTTGTTGAGTGTTTTTTTGTTTTTTTTTTAATATAAAAGAATTGTTTTTAAACACTTACCATTATGTCAACCCATGTGCCAGAACTAACAGCCTCTTCTACAGCTGCTTCTATCTGACCTAATAACATGGACCCAATAGCAGCACCGTCAAGGAATAAGAGCTTTTCAGCAGGAAAATGTTTGCGTGCATAAGACTGACCATCAGATATGCCAATGCGTGAGAGAGCATCATATTCTATTAATTAGGAAAAGAAAGAAAGACTTATGACTATGACCTTGCTCCACTAAAATCAATAAATAAAGTTAAGAATCAAAAGTTTAAGAATTACAATTAAACAAGAGTACCTAAAAAGCCGTTCTGCTTGTAGAAGCTATCAACCCAATCACTTTGAGATTTAGAGTAAATTGATGGTACATAAATACTATTGGAAACTTGTTTCCCAGAGAAGACACCGGGGACTTGTTTCAATTCCATCAAATTATCAATTAGTGCTAGAAACAGATTTAGGAAAATAATTAACACACGGTAATGTGCCACAAGGTATAAATTTGAGATATTATGATAACTTACAAAAGAATAGACGTTCTTGAACTCCACAAATGTTGATTAAGTTGCTCACAGGTGTCGGTTTCATTGTGGCAATAAGAGCACCTCGAATAGCTGCCATATTTCTGGCAACATAAGCTTCAGTAAAGAAAACACGAGGATCTTGTCTGTCTTGCTTAGCACGTATTATCTTCCCTAGATTTCGTTGAACAACCTATGAAAACGACCAGATGGTGAATTTTTACACATGATAGGTAACAAGTATCTTTGATGAACCCCAAACCCTACCCACCTGTTGTAAAAATTCACTAGGTAGATCATATTGACTGGTCAAATCACTAATAGATACTTCTCCTTGTTGAACAAGCTTTTCATTTATTTCTTCAGCCAACCGTGTAATATATGATTTATCAATAAGTTGTCCCAGCACTAAAGAAATTCCAGGGTCCTGCTTCTGGAGGTCAGCAGCTCTTTGAGCAATGTGGCTCAGATCAACATTTAATAACTTGGCCAACTCTACCAGATTGATGCGACCTGACAAAAAAAAACATATGAAAGTATATGATATTATTGCCCGACAAAGTTGACAGAAGTTAAGAATCTGATTAATGTGAAACTTACCACCATTGACAATTAATTCATCTCTCATCTCTGTTACAAGCTGCTGTGGAGTGATATATTCTTTTCCATCATTTGTAAATATGATGTCGAGCAATTTCATGTCCACGAGCTTGGTGATAATTTCAACACAGTTACGCTCAGATAATCTATAAATGTTGGAAAAAAAAAAGAGTAGGTGGCAGCGTTTAAAAAAAATTAAATAAGCTTGTGTTACAATAGAAAAGAGAAATAAATTCAAGGTAACGTTGGCAAAAAAAAAACATTTAGTGGAAAGTGTGGAGGCCATAATATGTCTGACATACAAGATTGTAAGCGAACATGATGAATAAAATGAAAGACAAAAACCACAAGAATATTTGAAATTCAAAAATGACAGTGTAGGCGTCTAAATGGTACTTGTTGTTGAGGGTATAACAAATATCATCTAAGTGAAATTAGGTTGGGACGGAATGAGGAGGTTATCTATAACCGGGATATTTAGGGTGCATCGGGTGAAGTGATGTGTCATATTCTGAAAAGGCGTGGGAATGGTTTACCTTTGAGTCGTGGATATCAGCTGAGCGCGCTGGAGCCCAGCGGCCAGCCGTTTAACTTCCTCCCATTCAACAGCTGTCATGATCTTGACTGTGCGTACGACACCAAATCAGCAGAAACTGTGTTGTGTTGTGGGGATGGAGCGAGCGAAGCGGTGGTACTGTTTGAGAAAGCGAGCACGAGAGGGCAGCACAAGTCAGAGAGACTGACAGACAGCCATGGCATGGATGACAGCAGCTAAGAGAAGGGAGGACAGACCCAGGGGACAGAAAAAAGTCACTTTGACATCATTTGATGTCAAACCAAAAAATTGAGGTCCAAATGATGAACTAAAATTTTACTTCGGTCAAAATGATGTCAAAACGATGTCAAATCGATTTCAGCAGAAATCAATTTGACATCATGTGACATCATTTTGAGATCAAATTCCAAAAGTAAATGAGGTCAAAATGATGAACTAAAATTTGACCCTTTTCTGTCCCCTGGGGAGGACCTCTTGCTTCGGTGTTCAAGGTGGATTTAGACTTGAGAGCAGTGCAAATTTAGAGGAGAAGGGTGATCATACGACCGTGAATAGCAGTGCGTTAATGGACTGAAATTTGAATTATCTATTCTAGAGTGCGGAATGTAGATAGTTATGGAATTTATTAGGATCTCACAGGAGTCGGGAATAATTTTCGCCCTGGAAGTGACACAAAGTGCCCAGCTCCAATTTCTCCATAGTGTCCAAATTTTGCCATTTTATCTATGAGTAATGGTAGTTTCTGGACCCGTACCTAGGGAGAACTTGTCTCCTGCCCTATGCGTTTGCTATTTTTGGAAGAGAAGGGAAGGGGAGAAGAGGGAGGGGAAGGGGGGGGGGGTAATCCGAAGACCCGAACGATCCAACCCGAGCGTGGAGAGGACCTGTTCGGGCGCAGCCCGCCTCTACTGCGCATGCTCCGTGCTCTCTCCCCTCGCGGCTCCAGCAGAGAAGGGACGGAGAGACGCGGAGTGAGGGGTGTGGCTGTAGGCTGTAGACAGTGAAGCGCAGCCCGGCTGCCGCGGCGGCTCGGCGGTCAGCGACCGTTCCTCTTGTGTGGATTTACGCTGCTCACCATTCATCCCGCTTCCCTGGTATGTGATATGTGCAAACTGATTAGTATTATGTTATTAT